GTTCATGGTGTGTAACAACCAGCAGCGCTTTGAGCTCACAAATCATCAGTGTGAACAGCAGCCCTCGTTTCCAAACACTCCCACCGTCTCCGTCTCTACCTTTCTCTCTCTCTCTCACACACACACACGCACACACACACACACACACACACACGCACACACACGCGTGTGCAGACGGATGTCATTACTGATAATACAGCAGTTTTGCCAACACCAGCGCTTCCGCAGCCACATTCAGTAAAATTAATTGCCTAATTAGCAAATAAAATGGCTTGTTTGCCAGCGACTGTGGTTTAGTATGCAAGACATTTAGTCCAAGGGCGAACCATCGGTTAGTCTGTGATTAGCATTTCCAGTGTACACTATAATTCATTTTTCCAACACCATTGATTTTAGTGGAGGAGGACAAGAACGAAATGAGGAAGGAGAGCCTGCGATATATTTTTAACGGTTATTGACAAGAGTCGGGCTGTCTGCGGTCTCGCTTTGATGTAGTTGACCGCGGTAATGATGCCAGTTTTTGTTTTTAATAAATTAATACTTGTATTCATCAAGGACGCATTAAATTGATCAAAAGTGACAGTATAGACATTTATTATGTTACAAAAGATTTCTACTTCAAATAAAAGCTGTTCTTTTGAACTTTCTATTCATCTGTGAATCCTGAAAGATAAAATGCAACACGGTTTCCACAAAAATATTGTGCAGCACAACTGTTTTCAACATTGATAATAATCAGAAATGTTTCTTGAGCAGCAAATCAGCATATTAGAATGATTTCTGAAGATCATGTGACACTGAAGACTGGAGGAATGATGCTGAAAATACAGCTGCGCATCACAGAAATAAATTACATTTTACTATATATTCACATAGAAAACAGTTATTTTAAATTGTAAAAATATATCAATATTTTTACTGTATTTTTCAAATTGTAAAAAAAAAAAAGCAGCCTTGGTGAGCAGAAGAGACTTCTTTCAAAAACATTCCAAAATTCAAATCTAATTTTGAGTGTCTGTTCCTTTAAGAACTGGCTCTGGATTGTAGAATAAGTTAGCATGAGTTCCTAATAGTTCTACTTGGCTGATACTCAATGTTTGATGAGGAATGCAGGTTGTGTGTGTGTGTGTGTGTGTGTGTGTGTGTGGCTGATGGAGGCTGGCAGATCTCCCGATGGTTTTCCAGCGGCCGCCGACTCGCTTCTGTGGAGATAATCATAACTGTAGATTTTCCCGTAAACAACACAGACACACAGTTTTCTCATGAAGAGTCGGCAGAGGCTCGAGGTCTGAGACAACACACACACACACACTCCCCCGTGGCTCACACACGCACACACTCTTACAGGATGTTCTTCTGTGCTCATAACACCTTACGGTGTCAATTACCCTTCACACAGAGGGCCTTCTGTCCCTCTCTCGTCTGTCTTTGTCTTTTGTTTTTCTCGTTTTCTACCTGCTCACTGGTTTTCTGCTTTTCGACTCATAGTAAATGAGCTGTAAATGTGAAGACCAGCTTGTCTGAAGACGCTGCATCACTCCGTTTGCTCTTTTATCGCACATAGACTGTAGATGGTTTGATTGAATGGGTTCAGAGGGTCACGCTGATGCTATAATTCCACACTAAAATAAATAACATTAATCATGAATAGTAATATCCGTAGCGCTGCCATTAACTGAACTGAAGCAGAACTCACTAAGTCTTTAAATAAATCTGAGCCACAATAAAAGGGGGAAAAAACTTGTTTTTCCTAGTTAATCTTCTGGTGGTAATTTTTCTATGGAAGTAAATTAACTTTTTAATGTAATTTTATTAATGTATACTGTTTTATTGCATTTTATATTATTTTATAAATTTTTTATGAACCATATTATAACATTTCACATTTCAAATTGTAAATATTTATTTCATTTTTTATTATGAACCTTATTATAACATTAAACATTTCAAGTTAATTAACATAAATGAACATTTTATTATTTTATATACTAAATTAAAATATTTGTATTTACTGTACAATCGAATGGGTTTGTAGGGTTACACTGATGCTATAATTATTATTATTATTATAGTGCTTTTTTATTTTATTTTATTTTTTATTATGAACCATATTATTACATTTAATGTTTTGAGTTGTACAATTTTTTTTATTATGAACCTTATTATAACACTTACCATTTCAAGTTATGTAAATGAACACATTTTATTTTATTGTTTTTTATTTCTTTTTAAATTATTAGCCATATTATAACATTTAATAGTTCAAGTTGTTAACATTTATTGTATTTTGTTTTTTATTATGAACCTTATTATAACATTTACCATTTCATTATATAAATGACATTTAGTTTTTTATTTAATTACATTTTTTTTTTAATATGAACCACATTATAACATTTAATATTTGAAGTTATATGACTTACCCTTTTTTATGTTATATAATTATCGAATGGGTTTGAAGGTTAATTATTACAACACTAAACTCAATAATAACATTGCTCACGAATAGTAATGTCCGTTCTTTTATATGCTATTTATGCAGCAGCAGTATGTCTTACATACTCACGGCACCGTATGCATTAACAGTAGCAAGTTCATGTACTTGCTTGCAGCAGCAGCAATAACCAGCAGCAGCAGCAATTCAGCAGCAGCGTAGCAGATCTGTTCCGCCAAGATCAAATACATTAACATTGTCATATCCATCACCATGCTAAAATCTTCAGAGAGTTGTCTTGATTAAAATACATATATTTTATTTTTTATTATGAACCTTATTATAACATTTAACATTTCAAGGTGTATAAACATTTTAGCATTAATACCGTGGTATTTACCGCAGTAAACTATGTCTCACAGACGCTTCGCTGATGGTAATGAGAGCAGTTTTGAGTTTAGTGTGTATTTTCTCAGTCTCTGGTCTTTTCTTCAGTTGTCTGCTGTAGCTCTGATTTACTGAAGGTCATGCTCTTCCTCTTATGCTGCAGTTCCAACTGGCCGCTACCTCCGTTTTTATTTACTTTCACTCTCATTGGCTGTTTGGCGGGTGTTCATGTTGGATCCAGTTAAAAGACTTTCGGATGCTTTCCAGAGTCTTAACGGTGTTCCTCAGAGAAAGAGAGAGAGAGAGAGAGGCGGCTGTGTCTCGGTTAGCGCAGAGTTTGATGTCTAACGCTGAGTCACTGTGTGTACGCCTACTCAAAATGCTAATGGATTTTTTTTTCTAATCCGCTTACAAGTGACGCTAAGCTACAGAGTCATTTAATGGCTGTTATGGGCCGGACCCGCTGTCTGAGACTGTGTGTGTGTGTGTGTGTGTGTGTGTGTTGTCCAGGTTAGAATAGCTGTGCGCTGGCCTGTTCTCGTGGTTGCTATGGAAATTAAATATAAGGTCGCTTGAAGATATTCGGTCGCTCTCAAGAGTGCAAAGTTTGACGATAATGACAACGAGTGTGTGTGTGTGTGTGTGTGTGTGTGCATAGCTTTAGTTTGCAAACAAATTGTCCTGAGAAGTTGTGAGAAAATGTCCTCATTTAGAAAAATGATTCATAATTAAACAAAATATATTTTGTTTTCTCTAAAAAGTTTTCTCACAGGGTTTAGCATAGACTGTAGTTTAAAAACAAGGTTGTTGTTTTTTCTTTAAAAAGTTTGCTCTCAGGGACCGGGTTAGACTGTATTAGGAAAAGTTAGTTTAGAAAAATGAATCATAATTATATATATTTTTTTTCTATAAAACGATTTCTCTCAGGGTTTGGGTTAGACTAGTTTAAAAAAATTATTCACATTTAAATTAATTATTTTTTTAAAATATTTTTTAAAAATGGTCTCTCAGGGTTTGGGTTGGACTGTGATTAAAATTATTCATAATTAAATTATCCCCCCCCCCCCATAAAACGTTTTCTCTCAGGGTTTGGGTTAGACTGTACTTTTAGAAAAATGATTCACGATTAAATGTCTTTTTTTCCCTCTAAAAATGTTCTCTCAGTGTTTGGGTTAGACTGTAATCATCTTTTTATAAAATAACCAATGTCTATGATATGTGCTCGTTTACAGTTAGGTAAACATACTTAGATGAACATTTTATCCATTTTAATCTCTTTTTAAGTTGGAATGGCTGCCTAAATAGATTCTAATGAATAATATTAATAAACACTACTTATTTTGCTAATATTTATTAATATTTTGAGTTGGCTTCATTTTTATATTTTCACTTTTCATTTTAATTTTACTACAAGTTTTAGTAATTTTATTGTGTATGTGTCGTTTCATTTAACTTTTTTAATTTAATTTTATTAATTTTAGTACTTAAACATTTCAAATTGTTGCCAAGCCAACATTTCAAATTTTTGTTTAAACTTAAGTTTACATTTTTCATCTAATATTTAAACTTTATTTTATTTCAGCTTTGTTTCAATTACCAAAAATAATTTTCTATAATTTCAGTTTTGGTTAACAATGACAACATTGATGTGTTAAAAGAATAAAATAATTAGTTAATTAATAAAAATAAATAAAATAAAAATAAACTTAATTACATTTTTATTTAATAAAATTAAGCTTATATTTATTATTTTATTCCTTATTTTTTAATTATTAAAAAAAATCTATGATTTTTTAAGTTTTCCCCTTTATTTTTCTCTTTATGGTGGTCATTTAAAACACTTTGACTCACCAGTGTGCCTGAAATGTGCTGTATTAATAACTTGCCTTCATCACACTGGGCTGGATAATTGTTCTTGTGGAAACCCTGCAGAAGCTCCCGGTCATGTGGAGAGAAGGGCTTGATCTCACCAAATACCAAAAATGCATCTGAATATCATCTTCTGTGTGAAGAAGATAGTGTCATCTGACGATGCAAATCAATCTCCCACACAGGATCAATGAAGTACCCATGTACCTGTCTGTCTGTACCTGGGTTACCTAGAGGACAACATGTCTGCCTGTCAGTCTGTCTGTCTGCTTCAGTCTGTCTGTGAACTAACATGTGTGTGTTTGTGTAGGGATGAGGGAACTGTCTCCTCCTCCGCTGAATCTGAAGCGTCTGTATGGAGAGACTCTGGAGTCTGAGCCCGTCTTACTGATCATCTCTGCCGGTGCGGATCCGTCTCAGGAGCTCCTGGAACTCGCCAGTCAGATCGTGGGGCGAGAAAACTACCATGAGGTCCGACACGCACGCACGCACACACACACACATACATGCACACACACACACAGGTTTGTTTTTGTGAATTGTGGGGACATTCCTCAGGCGTAATGGTTTTTATACTGTACAAACTGTATATTCTATTGTCCTACACCAACCCTACACCTAAACCTACCCCTCACAGGAAACTTTCTGCATTTTTACAATCTCAAAAAAACTAAATCTGTATGATTTATAAGCTTTTGTACCCATGGGGACCTCAATTTAGGTCCCATGGTGACACAAGTCACCATGAGTTGGTGTGTATTCAAGTTTAAGTCCCCGCCAGTATAGAAAAACATGTACACACACACACACACACACTCACAGACAGACAGACACGCACACACACGCACAAACACACACACACATACACGCGCAAACAAACACACGGGCACGCACAAATGAGTACTCGAGTGATATTGCGTTTATACAACAGTTCGACGGAACATGTGTAGTTAAACAAGAAACAACGGAGTGCCTAATAAAACCCTCTTTTGTGCGGAACTACTTCCTTCCGCCACGGATTCAAAGCTCAAGTTGACAGTTAAACATACGTCACTTTTAGAATTGGTATCAAGGGCATGTGCTACTTCAGTTAATACCTCACAGGTGTGGCATATCAAGATGCTGATTAGACAGCATGATTATTGCACAGGTGTTCTTTAGGCTGGCCACAGTAAAAGGCCACTCTAAAATGTGCAGTTTTGTCACACAGCACAATGCCACAGATGTCGCAAGTTTTGAGGGAGCGTGCAAAAGTGTTGCGTTTATAATTTTGTTCAGTGTATATTAACTAACGTGTACTCTACGATTAGCTCAGTGAATAATAAAAAAAAACATAGACCCGGCTAGAACAAGCGGAGTGATACAAAATTGTGAAAGGGCGTTCCTGTAGCGATACCAGTACAATATTTCACGGTTCTCAACCAATCAGATTTGAGAACCAGAACAAACTGTTGTATAATCAGACATATTTCACTACACACACCTGATAGAAAGAGGGATTATTATTGTTAACTAAAACTATAAAAAAGTAATTACTTTAAATAAAATAAACATTAACTGAAATAATAAAAAATAAAAAAATACATATATAAATGAAACTTCTGTCAGGACCACTATCGTCAAATGATAGATACTTAGCATAAAGTTTGGTTTGGCGGTATGGTTCTGTTCTGGGCAAAAAACCTCCCTGCCCATCCATGCAGCCTGTCATGAATGAGCAGGGAGAGCAGCAATAATACCCCCCCCCCCCCTAGGGTTAACAGAACAGAACAAGGCAGATATCATTAATGTACTCAATGATATTTAAGTGTAACACTTTATGCAAGATAAAGGAGTCTGATTAGCAAAGAATATCAGAAAGCTAAGTCCTGACTGTGGCGAAAGGAGGAGCTGGGGATGGAGGAGGGTAATTTGCTCCGGAGCAAGCTGAAAAGCTGCTGAATAATACAGAATAGAGCTTATATAGGAATGCCGCGATAGGTGTCGTATTCCTATAGGTAGATGTGATCAGCTGAGAATCAGCCGATGCAAGCTTGACTCACGTGACCTGCCAGAACTAACGCTAACGCTTAATTTTATTTTATTTCAGCTACCTGCCAAGGTGACATTTTCTTTTAGTTTAAAGGGATAGTTCACCCAAAAATGAAAATTAGCCCATGATTTACTCACCCTCAAGCCATCCTAGGTGTATATGACTTTCTTCTTTTAGACGAATTCAATCGGAGTTATATGGTGAACTATCCCTTTAAGTTGATGTACTAAAATAACTAAAACTTAATAAAAAAAAAAATATATATATATATATTGTGACATTAAAATATAATAAAAATAACAAAAGCATCAAAATTACTAAAACTTTATAAATACAATTAAAATTAAACCATAAAATATGAAAATTAAATCTAATTCAAAATATATGGGGGCGGTAAGATTTTTAAATGACTTTGAAAGAAGTCTCTTCTGCTCAAAAAAAAACTTTTTCAAATAACAGTTTTCTATGTGAATATATATTAAAATGTAATGTATTTCTGTGATGCGCAGCTGTATTTTCAGCATCATTCCTCCAGTCTTCAGTGTCACATGATCTTCAGAAATCAGTATAATATGCTGATTTGCTGCTCGAGAAACATTTCTGATTATTATCAATGTTGAAAACAGTTGTGCTGCGAATATTTTTGAGGAAACTGTGATAAATTTTATTTTTCAGGATTCTTTGTTGAAGAGAAATATAAATCTTTTGAAACATTATACATGTCTTTACTGTCACTTTTAATCAATTTAATGAATCCTATATGACTAAAAGTATTAATTTCTGTAATAAAGCTGGCGATGGGTCAGGGTCAGGCTGACGTGGCTCTACAGACGCTCAGAGAGTGTGTTCGCTCCGGTGAATGGCTGTGCTTGAAAAACCTGCACCTGGTCACGGCGTGGCTCCCCCTGCTGGAGAAGGTCTGAACTCTCTGTTTGTCTGTCTGTTTCATTGTGAAGTTCTGTCTCTCTGTCAGATGTCTGTCTTCTCTTATTATCTGTGCTGTGGAATTAATTATAGCTGAAATTACTGTTGTTGCAAAGTGAGAGTGAATCTGTGTGAGGAAGATTACGTGCAGATACATTAATTGTTTTTTGTTTTCATTTCTTTGCTCATTCTCAAAATGTAAGTGTGTGTGTTGTGTAGCGCTGCAGATCTGTAATGGGTTTGGTGTCGATGAGATGAGGCTGTGAGAGAATGAAACACATGCACGCACACACAGGAGAGATTGTTATTGGTTTGATGCTTTGCATTTATCGATTTAATTAATTGTAGTGAGACATCTAATGTGTGTGTCTGTGTGTGTGCAGGAGCTCAACAGTATGAAGCCGAAAGCCGGCTTCAGAGTCTGGTTGACTGCTGAGGTTCATGCAAAGTTCACTCCCATACTGCTCCAGTCCAGCCTGAAGGTCACCTATGAGGTCAGTGTTTGTCAAATGTAATGTATTCTCTTTTTAATGAACCGTTATTGATTCTTAAATCCCAAGACTGAACTTTTAATCTCTACTGTTTTCAGTTGCTGCATCAACAAAACTTCATTAAACATTATTTTTAGCATGCTTCTTATTCAATAATCGCAATAAACTTTGTACTCATTACTTTTGATATTAAACAAAATCAGAGCTTTCAAAGCCTGTAAATTTTATCACAAAATTCAAACAAAGAATGTAATTTTAATCAAAGTTTCTGGGGGCCTTAAAAGTTCTTAAAATCTTAATTTGCCCTTCCAGGCCTTACAAACGTCTTAAATCAGATGGCATTAAATGTTGCGTGCATTGCAAAAAATGATTATCTTCCATATTTTTGTCTTGTTTTCCAATACAAATAATATCTGAATATTCTTAAATCAAGATACATATACTTGAGATGCAAATTGAAAACATTAAGAAATAGAAAACCAAAATTAAACCATAAAAAGAGTTACTTTAATAAAAATAAAAATAAACTTTAACTTAAAATGAAGATATGAAAAAGTAAACTTATTTTATTCAGTATTTCTTATTTTGATTTACTTCAACTTAATGTATTAAAATAACTAAAACTTAAACCGAAGTAAAAATTAAACAGATAGACATTAAAAAACAAAAACACAATGAAATGACTTACATTTGAACTAAATTTAAAATGAAAACAGACAATATACAAATAAAAACTAATTTACTAAAACTAAAAACGAATTCAAAATAGTAATAGAAACTATAATAGTGTAACACTGGTTGAAAGCTGGATTCTTATTGTAGACGTTTGCATTTAGAGAACATTTATGTATTGTGTTTCCTTTAATTTTCTTTAGCTGGTCTTAATAAGGTCTTAAAAAGCTTTAAATTTACCTTCATACAAACTGCAGAAACCCTCTTTAATGTGGTGTAACAGATCACTGTAGCTGTGAACCGATCTTGTCTTCCTCTTAACTACTAGTTAAAGCACCAAATAAACATGAATGAACATCAGAAGGTGCTGAAAGAAACTTACTGAAATGATTCATGTCTCCTTTAATCAAAAATCAGTGTTTCAACCCCGGAAAGACGTCAATAAAGCAGCTGGTAAACAATACGTCACGTAACATCACATTAACCTCAGGAAAGACACTCAGTGTCCAAATCAAATCCATATCGAATCATTGAATTGAATCAAAACTTGTTGTTTGAAATCAAATCGAATTGTGAAATTTATGTCAACAGAGATGCATCTCAGACTGCACATCCATTAATGATAACGTTACATGTGTGTGTGTGTTCAGGCTCCTCCAGGCCTCAAGAAGAACCTGAAGCGGACGTATGAGTCCTGGAGCGCGGAGCAGATCAGTAAAGGCGGTCACCTGACTCGAGCTCAGTCACTCTTATGTCTGGCCTGGTTCCACGCCGTCTGTCAGGAGAGACGCAACTACATTCCACAGGTACACACACCGGTCACATGACAGCAGACACGATATACACTCAAACCATTGCTGGAATTCAGACAGGAACTCTTGGATCTGTTTGGGCAATTAATTCAGACTCTGAATTAAAATACTGCACGTCAGGCCTTTCAAGAGCTCCATTTAATTAACTGAAGCTTTTGCTTTTCTCTTTTGTAATGTCTCTCTCTCCTAAAGTCTAATAAGCTGCGTAGAAGAAAACTAATTCATGGTGTCTCTTAAAAGGATTTTGTGAAAGAAACAGGAAGTTTCTTGCTCCGCAGTTAAACTAAACTATAAAATCGCATTATTTTTATGATTATGATGTCACATAGGCTCATTAACATATGGCCACATTAACACTTACTCAGTGACTTGATGTGACTATGAACTGTACATAAAGGTCAGGCAATTAGCAGAGGTCATTTACATAAATAGGTCTTAAAGATACAGCAGCGAAGAAGAGAAGGGTCAGACTCTTTTTTTGGTGCAAGAGATGTTGACTAACAATGTTTGTGGACTTCAGAGTGGAAAATGAAACACTACAGAAGTGTCGATCGTGTGCCTTTTGAAGGAAATGGAAATAAAAGCTTTTTAACAGCCATTATTGGAAAACATGGTGTTATTTACACCAGGCATCTCGACACCCAGTCATCACAGCAGGCGTGCAGATTTCTGCTTCTCCAGGAATCATGGGACTTTTCTGTTCGTTAGATTTTACAGTGATACTACTTTAGTCAGATTTCACTAGTGCTGTCTCTGTACAAAAATTTAATACATTGTGTGTGTGTGTATATATATATATATATATGATTTATAATATGTCGAAATATTATAATTTATTATTTTAATTATTACATAAATTCTATTATTTATATTGTAAATTAAATATAATAAATCTAGTAAGTATATAAAATAAAGTATTAAAAACTTATAAATTATAAAAAATATATATATATATAATTTATAAATTATTATTTGTTTAAATAAATAATAATAAAAAAAAAAAAATATATATATATATATATATATATATATATATATATATATACAGTATATATATAATGTTGAAAGATAATAATACGTGTAATACTTGTATATTGACATAAAAGCGAAGTACCAGTACTTTTAACATCAGTAGCTTTTACATTATCAGATGTCAGGTGTTTAAAAAGGTTTTTTTTCAAACATTTGCTTCTATTAAATAAAGCCTGTTGTGAAAAGACTGGGAATAATTTAGAGCCAAAGAAAAAATGTCTGACTTCACTGTGTCCATGGAAATTCATGTCAAGCTTTTGAAAAACGACTCTATATTTAATCATGATTATGAGACTTTGAGTCTGAGTTTCTGTTGCACTGGCTAAATGTATGAAGTTGAATTGAACTGATGATGAAGATGAGGATGTGTTTGTGTTGCACAGGGTTGGACGAAGTTCTACGAGTTCTCTCTGTCAGACCTGAGAGCCGGCTTTGAGATCATTGACCGTCTGTTTGAAGGTGTGTGTGTGTGATTATCTCTATGTAATCTACATTAACTCATCATCTGAGGGTTTTTATGTTTTTATATTTGCATGTATTTACATGTTTTGGTTTGAGATTGTACTATAGTATTTTCTTTGTGTGTGTGTGTGTGTTTCAGGTGGGAAGGCGTTTCAGTGGGAATTCGTGCATGGTCTCTTGGAAAACGCCATCTACGGCGGCCGCATCGATAACGTGTGCGACCTGCGAGTCCTTCGCTCGTACCTACAGCAGTTCTTTAACGCTCAGCTCCTCTCACAGTCACACACACACTCACGTGTCAAGAAAACTCACGCTTTCCCGGCTCAGATACACCTGCCCAACTCCTGCAGCATAGTGGTTAGTGATCGTATACAGACTACTCTCTGTGCTGTATAGTTCACAAGAATTCTGATCTACTAATTGTGCATGCTTTTGGACTGATACTACCCACAGTCCTTTGCACTATTGGATTAAAGTCTCCCCTCTCTGTGTGTGTGTGTGTGTGTGTAGGATTATCGTGCCGTGGTGGACGCTCTTCCTGAAGACGACAGACCCAGTTTCTTCGGCCTGCCTGCAAACATTGAGCGCTCTGCGCAGAGAATCATCAGCTCACAGGTGTGTGTGTGTGTGTGTGTGTGTGTGTGTTTCTGTAGCGGTCATGAGGGGTCAGAGGTGTTTTGAGAACATTGTGCTGAGCAGGACATTCCTCAACATCAAAGGAGTGTGTGTGTGTGTGTGTGTGTGTGTGTGATTGTTGTTCTTTCCTGTGGGGTGGAGATCATAATGCGCTGACAGACAAAGCACATTCACGCACATGGGTTTGTTTCACCATATTTCTGAGGACATCTCATTGACTTTTTACACCTTACTTTAGACATTATTTTTAATCAATTAGATTATCTTGAAATGTTCTCAGTCAGTTTTTACTGTATTTGTGAGGATTTTTTCAAGTAGATTCACTTTTATTGAAGCAAGCAGCAGTTTGCGAGGTAGCGAATGAGAAGTTTTAGCTAAATTTAGGCGTTTGGCTAAATTTAGCTATAATAATAATAATATTTTATATATTATTTTAAAATAATTTATATATATATATGTAATCACAGCCGTATTTTAGCTTTTTTTCATAATATTAATTAAATAATAATTCATAAGAATTCACAGTTTAATTTCCTTCTATTTTTGCAATGTTGTTATTAACTAAAAAATGGTTTTCAGTATTTGAAAAAAAATCACGTTTCAAAAATTTGAATTATTATAAAGAAATGTTTGAAATTAGAATATTAGAAATGTTGCCTTGCCAATTTGAACTGCTAAAATTACTAAAACGAAAACTGAAATGTGTAAATGAAATGCAGCAACTTTGCCATTTTGTATGTTGATTACATGCAAAAAATATGACCAATGACCAATATGCAAATATGAAAACGCATGATGATGTCATTGCTGTTGTTGTCACATGCTAACAAAATTCAACTATAAAGTTTTCAAATACCAGAACAAAGTTTGAATGGATTATTTAGGTTAAGTGGCTCAAGCTGAATTACTTATGGTGTTAATTGTGGATTTATGCTTGTGAAATAATTAAAAATAATAAATTTTATGCTTGCGATGATTGACTGTGCAAAACTCACCACCATAAAGCTGTGTTCAGAGCTGTTGCCAGGGTGTCGCTATGCGGTTGCTACTGGCTGCATGAATATCCTGCTTTTTACTGAATGAAATACGTGAATCACCCTCATTCAGCTCACTGTCGCTCTCTTGACTTCACACACACTCACACACACACACTCACGCACACACACACACACACACTCACTCACACACACACACACACACACACACACTCATTCTCACACACACACACTCACTCTCTCTTTGTGTGTTCAGACTGTTACGCTGCACTCCTATTTGTCATTGTCAGGTTTAGACTGATCTTTGCCACACTCTCACACACACACAGTGCTGTAGAGATTGCGCGCGTGTGTGTGTGTTTAGCTCTTGTAATGAGACCAATTTATCATGTGTAAGAGTCGCCCACATCTTCACTGCAGTTTGCCCCAATCACAGAGAGATGGAGGATAGTGTACAGTGAGATGTATTGCGCTCACCGCAGCTGTGTGTGTGTGTGTGTGTGTGTGTGTGTGTGTGTGTGTAGGTGATCTCTCAGTTGAGGATTCTGAGCAGGTCTGTAGCAGCTGGCTCCAAATTTGACAGAGAGATCTGGTCTAATGCACTCTCACCTGTGCTCAACCTGTGGAAACGTCTCAACCAGGTAACGCATCGGCATTTTAGTGTCATAATATAATTATTACAGTTTTATATATATTTTTATATATAGTACAAAATTTTTATATTTCATATATTTTTATATATACAGTATATATATTTATATATACTTGTCTTTTGTCCAATAATCCATGTAAAATGTTTTAATGTTTTTTGTGCACCATATGCAGCCGTATTTTTGTTTTTTTAATAATAAAAATTCATAGTTATTCATAATTTATTTTCCTTCTATTTTTGCAGTGTTGTTATTGTTAAATTAAAACTGTTAAAAATGATTTCAGTAATTTAAATAAATAAAAAATAAAATTTAAAAATGTAATTGCACATACTGGTCAAAAATGTATAGCCTAAATGCACTGTAAGTCGCTTTGGATAAAAGTGTCTGCTAAATGCATAAATTAAATTAAATTAAATTAAATTAGAAATGTTGCCTTGCTAACTAACTGGAATAAATAGGTTCACATTGAAGTAGGGCTGGACAATATTCAATATCAATATGTATCGCAAAAACATTTTGTTCAATAACGGTGATATGATTTTTAAACACGTTTCCGATATTTCCATATGAATTACCAGTGTTTCCCATACATTGATTTATTTGTGGCGTTTCAAAATCAAAACGCGTCGCGGCTGTTTTATATGATTGTTGGATAAAAGTGTCTGCTAAATGCATAAATTAAATTAAATTAAATTAAATTAGAAATGTTGCCTTGCTAACTAACTGGAATAAATAGGTTCACATTGAAGTAGGGCTGGACAATATTCAATATCAATATGTATCGCGAAAACATTTTGTTCAATAACGGTGATATGATTTTTAAACACGTTTCCGATATTTCCATATGAATTACCAGTGTTTCCCATACATTTATTTATTTGTGGCGTTTCAAAATCAAAACGCGGCTGTTTTATATGATTGTATCTCTGAAGGGAAAGGACTGTCTTCAGAAAAGTTTCGATGGCATTTTCATTGTATCTGATAAAGAAGTGTTCATGAGCCGAGCTGATTTGATTACAGCCGTTACTGGAGAAACCGCTAGTTCCACCGCTCTCACAGCGCCTCCTGCTGGCAGACAATCAGTTTGCATTTTCAATAAGCCAACATGTTTTTGTTGTTGCTCTTTTTTTTTTCTTTTCTTTCCCGGCAGCAACTCAGAGCACTTTTCATACTCTTTATACTGGCTGAAGCACATTTGTTTCAATCTATAAGAATAGTCGGCCTACACTACCAGTCAAAAGTTTTTGAACAGTAAGATTTTTATTCATTTATTTTTTTTATTATTATTATTTTTTTAAGAATTTTCTTCTGCTCACCAAGCCTGCATTTATTTGATCCAAAGTACAACAAAACAGTAAAATTTTGAAATATTTTTTACTATTTAAAATAACTGATTTCTCTTTGAATACAGAATAAATGTAATGTATTTCTGTGATGTGCAGCTGTATTTTCAGCATCATTCCTCCAGTCTTCAGTGTCACATGATCTTCAGAAATCAGTATAATATGCTGATTTGCTGATATTTAAAACAGTTGAGTAAATTTTTTTTTCAGGATTCTTTGATGAATAGAAATCTGAAATAAAAAGCTTTTGTAACATTATACACTATACCATTCAAAAGCTTTGGAGTCAGTATGATTTCTTTTTTTGGAAAGAAATTATAGAAATTTATACTTTTATTCAGCAAGGATGCTTTAAATTGATCAAAAGTGATGATAAAGACATTTATAATGTTACAAAAGATTTCTATTTCAGATAAATGCTGTTCTTCTGAACTTTCTATTCATCAAAGAAACCTGAAAAAA